TTTTCATTGCTCAGCTTTTTGTAATATTTATGAGCAGTTGGGTGTTTTAATTTATGGGAGAGAGTGCATGTTGTGTCATTTTTACATGCATTGACCCCAACAAAATCATAAGAGCTTCACAAACTGTTTCTTTCAAAATCATTTTTGGTTCCGTCTATCTATCCTTTTATCTTGCCTCGACCAAATGATGACTGCTTTTCATTCAAAGACTCAAAAGCATCCTTGGGATATTGATCTATTTATAAACATGCAGCACCTCAAATAACATCCATCTTTGGCTAAAACTTTCAAATTATAACATAAGATAATTAACGGCTTGTAACATTTCTTAATTATTTAGCATGCATTATTGCACCAATTGCTGCACCTTTAAAACATTTCTGGTTCCTATTAGGCTGGATCTGGCTGATTTCTGTGGTTTGTGAATAGAATGCACAAAAAGACTTTTTCTGTTTTCATTTGTAAAAAAATTGTTTTCAAAAGTAGTAAATTTCTGAGGTAAAATTACATGTTTTGTAGATGGAACTTTAAATGGTATTTTTGTCCTAAATAAATATGGATACCAAAAGGTAGAGCTTTTAATTTTTTTGTTTTACAATAGATCTGTACATCTCTGATATCTGGTTAATCCCGAATCACCTTGTTTGAGAAGTGTCAGATCACTGTATTAAAACAGTTGGCTTATTGTTATGAGTGTAATGTATTTTTTTTTCAGTACATTATAGGCAATGCATGGCAGCAATAAATCTGTTGGAGTAAGAATTCTAGTAAGAACCACTAACATGTGGGAAGCTATTGGCAATCTTTCTCGATTACAGCTTACACGTTTGCAAACACAATATTCAAACCCATGTATGAAGAGGTGAATGAAAATGATCTTTAAAGGCAAGTATCTTAGACCACTTGGTGACCTAGGGCTCCATAAAATCATCAGTTTATCAATCATTCAAGCACAAATATACCTCTCTAAAGCCTATTATGTTTCGATGTTGCCTATCTCTCCATTGCAGATTTTGGTAATGCACAGTGACTATTTGTCCACCATCAATAGTATCCAAACTGTGTAGATGGCTTGTACTTGAGGTATGGAGAAACCAATTGATATTAGGCTCTCACTCCAGATTTTATAATTATAAAGGCCCAAAGTCATGGCAACTTTGACTGAAATTTTTTTTTACTGCATACTAACATTAGTTCTGCATGATATACCTCAACAAATTTTGATAGCTGGCTTGTACTTGGGCTATGGAAGAAGGCTTTTGATTTGGGGATCAAAAGGTCACAGGTCAAGGTCAGTGACTGAAAGAAGAGAAATGGTTTCTGCACAGTAACATTAGTTCTAAACCACAGAGCTGGTTAGGATAATGAAAAAGCCTATTAATTTTGGGGAAAACTAACACTGGTCAGGGTCAGGGTCAGGGTCAAGGTCACAGTGTTTGAAAATAAAAATTGTGCAAAATTCTAAGGAATCGACATTGAGGACTATTGAACTTGTGGTGGGCATAAATGGTGCTATTCACAATATTTGTTTCATTTTAAAAAGAAATTGTATAATCTTGGTTTCATTTATAGACTTAACATAGTTCATATAATTAGGAGAGATTTTTCTTGCCAAGTTTAAAAGCATTGGGCCAGAAAATTCAATTTTACAGCTGGTGGTGAATGTTAGGAATGTTGAACCCCCAGCCATGTATGATGTATATAATATATGAAATAAAATAATTTCCACATGATTGATGATAATCATTTTCAGCCAGGTGTTGCAAACTTGCCATGTACCATATTTTCTCTCCTATGATGTTCACCTGTTTGGAAACATTATCAATTTGGCCTGGAATTCATAAAACCTCTGAACTTGAGATTTGCTGTCAAACAATCACACAGGATTTTACTATTCTCCAGCACCATATTTGATTGGCTCAGACTGGAACCTAACAATGTTCAAAGTTGTATGACCTCCAGGATAGATCTGCTATAAGGTAATGGACTGGTCTGCACAGCATATTCTGTGTCTGCAGGTGAATAGCATTGACCAAGATTAGCAGGCAAATTTTATACTGGCAGAGCTGGGTCTGCGCAGACTGCAAATGTGTGTTGGGGTTGTACACTAGTCAAACTATGTATTACCCTAACAGTTAAATCCTTACCTATGACATAGATAATCAGACACTTTAGTAAACATGAAGATGTATGTGAAATGTAGGTAACTGCAGTTGTAAATTGTTTTATTGACAGTTATGTAATGCATTTCTTTTGATTGTAAATATATCATCAGTAAATATATTGTCAAGATTTGATGATGGATCTATCAGTACATTTTGATGCCTACTCTCAAGTGGTTTTTCATTGAAGGCAGTTTATCCTAATGTGAAAATTTATCTTTAATGTCATTATATAATGGAGATAAACCAAAGCATTTTAATGGAATGATAATAGAGAAGTGGTCCTTACTGTATTGTCAATAATTTTTCATCCAGTTTTTCAGATGTACTAATATTTATTGTACAATATTAAATATAGTTTGTTTCGAAGGGTTGGGTACCATACCTTTGAAAATTTTAAAAAGAACACAAATGTGAGGATGCAGAATAGTTATAATTTTATTGACATTGATGGTGTATAAAAGTGTTGACATTAGTATTTTGTTGTGGCCACTTAAATTGGTTTCTTAAATGTTTTTGTCCTTGGTCTTGCTTCCCTGTGTGAAGTAAAGCTTCATATTATATCATATACAAGACTAATATAGTTTCACTTATCTTGCCTAACCTTGCCTTTGACAATTTCAGATTTATATTTTAATGAGTGGAATGCTTTGTCAAAATGTTGCATCTTATTGGGATGTTGTAATGTGTCTCAGTAGTACACATATTGTACAAGTAATATTGAACAAAATTCTTGACATTAACCTAAAGATCAATTTAGTTAAGTAAAGTATGGTTGGTCATGTATTAAAAGAAATCTTTATGTGTTTAGTTCTTGTTTCATACATCAATATAAAATATGTTGACAATTTCAATCTTGTGCTTCCTGGGAAATATAGGAATTTATGTTTTACTTACCTCACAAATGTAATATCCTCTCTATGTTATGTCCTTTATATTTTATAGCCATTTGGATGAGAATATAGTATAGGGACACATATAATTGGTCATTGTTTGAATCAGAATGTAATGATCTCAAAAGGTGTAATTAGGAATTTGGGTTTCAGGTGCCATTTTAATGCATTAAGTTCCATTTTACTTAGTCTATACTTTTGCAAACTGCTCCAGTGGCCTACTGGTTAGAGCATCCAGCTTGGATGTGAGAAGTCATGGGTTTGATCCCTGGCCAAGTCATCCCAAAGACTTACAAAATGGCACTAACAGCTGCCATGATGCTTGTGGATCAACATTAAGAGGTTAGTGTTAGGACTGGTTGGCCTGATGTCAGGATAATGTGATTGGGTGGGATATCATGCTACATGTCTGCATCATGATGCCCCAGTGCTATATATCACTGTAAACTGCCACACTGCAGACATTGTATCAATATAACTGAAAAATTGTCAAACATCCAAATCACACACACACACACTAGACTTTTGCAATAAGTTGTAGTGAATCAGTTTTTAAAAGAAAGATGATTTGAGGATGGTTTTATACAATTTGCTTTATATATAATAATAATAATAATAATAATAATAATAATAATAATAATAATAATAATAATAATAATAATAATAATAATAATAATAATGATGATGACTTTGTTTAAAGATGGTAACTCAGATACATGAACCAATCTACCTTGAAAACCTTTCTGACACCCTTAATTATATGCCTATTGTAGGTTTGGGGGTTGATTGGACCCTATTATATGTCATAAGAAGTCACTGAATGAAAGCAAGGGCTGCAGTAAGTTTGGTGGAAAGCATGTTGGATTCATAACATAAAGGGTGCAGGTTTGAATCCTACCATTATATCAGCCTGGATCAACTACCATGGTATCTCATTGGGCAAGGCACTTTTCTCCAATTGCCTCAGCACTAAAAACCTAATTGTGTTGCAGTGTTACAAGACATCCAGATACCATTTTCTATGAGTAGTGTATACAGTACCACATGCCATGTAATTTCTTGTACATCATGTAGCTATAAAATAATATAATTTTTTTCATCTAATTCAGATGCTCTTAAGTTTCATGTATAACCTGTAATAATTTGCATTTCTAAAGAATAATATATTAATAATATATTAAAATCATTATGGTTGTTGGCTTTATATTTATCTTTTATTTTTTATGTAATATTTTAATGTGTTAAAATTAAAGAGAGCTTCCCATTTTTAAGGGCCTTGAAAATATGTTGTAGGTACATCCAACAACCAGGTATTGTTTTGCTAACCATAATTTCATTGGTGATTTACTTTGGGTAAGTTCTTAACTGAGATATTCTTTCTATTATTATTTTATTTCACCATATATTTTGATGTTTCTTATCTGAATCAAGAAGAGAAGTTCACGCTTCAAATGGTTTGGGAAAAATATTGATGTATGATGTAGATAAGTGAAAAAAAACAGTGTATAGCTTGCCAAGTTTGTTTGGTATAATCTCGTATGAAAAATATAAATATTTCTTTCCTCAGTGAAAATCCAACCTGATTTATCTGTTAACTTCATCTAAATATTTATGTGAGGCATCAAATAATGAATAATGAATCAACAAATAAAGAAATAATCACCATTTATAGTTGCACAAAAAGCACTTTGATCATCATACTTGGTAAGGGCAACTGTTGTATTAACTAAAAATCTATTCTCATTCATCAAAATCGCCCTTCTTTTCTTGTTTATTTGCTAGAAAATTTAATGATTGATGTGTTTGATCTGTTGTTGTCATGACATTATCTAATGTTCATTAACAGCACAATATAAGAAATTATTTTGGATTAGTATTGATGTATTGTGAAAATCAAATAAATTGTTAAGCACATGCACATCAATTAGTCATCAATAAAATAAATGTTCCGGTGGCCTAGTGGTTAAAGTGTCCGCCTCAGATGTGGGAGGTCATGGGTTAGATCCCCAGCCAAGTCATACCAAAGGCTTACAAGAATGGTACTAACAGCTGCCTCGCTTGACACTCAGCATTAAGTGGTTAGTGTTAGGACTGGTCAGCCTGGTGTCAGGATAACGTGACTGGGTGGGACATCATGCTTCATGTCTGCAGCATGATGCCCCAGTGCTAGACATCACTATAAACTGCTACACTGCATACATCATAACATATGACTAAAAAATGGATACATCTATGTTACAAATCATAATCCCATCACATCACATAAATGTATATAAAATATGTTGTGTTAAAAATTCTTATACAAGAAAGGATGAGAAAAATTTTCACAATTATTTGCAATAAAACTACAGTGTCAGTATTTTACAAATGTAAAAGTACAGAATAACAAACAAATTCATTAGAGAAAACTCTCTATTCATAATTATTCTCAAAGCAAGTATAAAATGAGCATTCAGCCAATAAACAGTCCAGTTCGCCTCCATGCAATTTTGTCTAGCAGGTCATGGCATAATTTCACATTTTTCAGAGGTCTGTTGGTAACTCACTTCCTTGCTTATGGTGTGGTCTATGCTTTTGGAACCAGTTGTGCATCACATACACACACATACACACACACACACACACACATACATACATACATACATATATATATATATATATATATATATATATATATATATATATATATATATATATATATTAAATCTTTCATTATAATATTTATTACATACATAGATTATTCTTCATATTGGTAAAAAGTTAGATGCAATAAACTAAAAAGCTTATAATTCAATGGCATGTCTTCCTTTGGAATCTGAAATGCTTACTTGGGGACCCTGAGTGTTCTAAAGCGCTCACCTGCCATCTCACCTCTATCTGCATGGGGTCAAGTCTTGGGCTTGGCCAATGTGAATATGTTAGAAAACTTGCTACTTGCAACCTCTGGAATAGACTATATTATATTGCCTTTTTAACAAATACACCAAGAATTTAATGAGGTGTCTTCTTAACGTTCATATAATTGTGTTGAGCAAATGATTATTTTGCCTTTTCTGTATTAATAATGATAATATTTTTGTTGTATCAAGCTTCTAAGCCTTTGTAAGATGCCTTCTAGTTCAGTTTTGGTTTGAACTGAATCAGATGGCAAATTTTTTTGTCTGCAAAGCAAAGTTTTGGGTGATTTTAATTGCATTGGGTTTATTTTTTTCATAAAATCAGTTTGAAACCCAAACTGAACCTGTCATGTGGCAATAATGGAAATCACTGTGCCTAGGAACAACCTCACTACATTGTAAGTGTTATGTATACTCAATTTAATAATTTGTTTGCTAGTTTTAAATTTTTTTTGTTTTATTTCAGTACATGTTACTGTAATGATAACTTTGTCTACTGGATTTGAAATTTTGTTTAGAAATTCATTTCAGTTCTGTTTGACTTGATAAACAACCGGTAGTAGAAAAATTGTATCTAGTTGCTAACCTTGATTCAAAACTAGTAAAGCTTTTGGTAAACAACTTTTTTTAATTTGTTTTCCCAGAGTAAGAACCATTTATTTAGGTTAAGGCTATACTGAATATGTGATGTTAGGCATGTAACAAATTTCTACCTTGTTCTAGAAAAAGACCACATGACATTCATATGGGAATCTGTTTTGCATCTTAACTTACTGCATAACCATTTTTTTCATAAGAATTAGCCAGTTTGGCTTTAAATCTTTGACACCTAAAGGTGATTTGTTGTGACAATTTTGAGTTGAAATTTTTATTTTATGAAATTAGTGATTCTTACCCTGGAAAATAATATTGCTCATACAGAATTCTTGGACAGAGACATTTATCAAAATTTATTCAGAATTCCAAACTGGAATATCTTTTTTCTGTGATTCAAAAAAGGAACTGCTGACACAACAACACTTTGAAGGTTGTGATAGATGTCATCACCTCTATTTTGAATTTCATCAGGACTCGAACTCATATTCATTTAGGAATTTATAATGATATGACTTCTATTTTTTTTATTCTTTGATTATTTTTGGATCTGATATTTTTGGATCTGATTAAAAAGCATAAGTTTTTTTTTCGCTTTTGTTTTCTAAGGAAATCAATGATTTATTAAATTTTATAAAGCTTGTTGTCTTCACTCTTTTCTTGTTACTTTTTGTATGAGCCTAGACATGTAACAGTCCATTTTGTAATTTTTTTTAATCATGGGGCAAATAAATTAAGGAAAATATTTGATTCATAGAAAGCAAAGGTTTAAATATTATGAGAGCGAAGATTCAGCATGAAATAGAACTAAGCAGGTCAGCTGTGATGTGAAATTTGAGAAGCACTTTAAGGCCAGTGTTGTTTCCTAACATGAATATAAAAAAAAAAACAAGCAGTGAAGCAAATAATATTTAATACATGATGTTATTACAGCTATAGAGACAAATACTGAAACAGTAAATCTGTATTTTTTTCAATGACATGGTATAAAGAAGCTAGAAAGTTAGTGGTTACATTAAGAAAGTCCCTATTTCTAAAAATAGATGCTTCTGCCTGTAATATATAGCACCATAAATTCCTGGATTTGTCAATTTGGTTAGAAAAAAGGATCTAGTTGATTCATGTATTTAGTTTTATGCTTCAGTTTGCCATTAATGAATGGCTAAAGTAATATCTTATCAGCAACAATGAAATTAGGATGAACACTATGGTATGAAGACACTTGTACATTTGCTCTTGTGTAGATGCTTTAGGCTTAGTGGATGTTTCAAACTATAGTTTAGAAATTTTCTAGAAGCATATTGAGAAATAGTGGACTTTATATATATATATATATATATATATATATATATATATATATATATATATATATATATATATATATATATATATAATGCATTTTTTGTTTAGCTCCCACTTATTTCAATTCAGCTCTTACTTGTCCATATTCGAACCAAAAGTAGAAGTCACTTCCTCATAAAATTTAGGTCATGCTTGACTCTGCCTCTGTCATTTCTGGTTTCCAAAAGTTGAGGATGTTTTGCACTTGGTATTGTAAGAACCCTTGTGATTTTGCAGTCAAAAGGTCGTAGGTTAAAGTCATTGTAACTTGAAGGTTTAGGGTTATGTCTCTCTTCATCCAGTGCAGTGAGATCTTTGTGCTTCATTTATGTTTTTATAAACTTCTTTTTTCTTAGACCATTCTGGTGCCCTAGTGGTTATAGTGTCAGCCTTGAATATAGAATGTTATTGGTTCAAACCCTGACCAAACCATCCCAAAGACTTATAAAAATGGCACGAACAGCTGCTGCATTAGGCGCTTAGCATTAAGAGGTTAGTGTTAGGACTGGTCAACTTGGTGTCAACATAATGGTACTGAGTCAGACATGATGCTACATGTATCGCCATGATTCTCTAGTGCTAGACATCACTATAAACTTCCACATTACAGACATCATAGTGATACGACTGAAAATTGTAAAAGCTACATTAAAAATCCAAAACACACACACACACTTTTTTCTCAAACTGTTATATTCATGTTGATTTGGACATGATGATTTTCCTAATTTGTTGTCACATTGCTTCTTGCAGCAGTTGTAAATGTTTTATGTTGCTTCATTGATCAAATCCATATTGATTTGAGAATATTTTATGTGCTGAAAATGAATCAATTAGTTTTGGTAAAATATCATTTACTAAATGACAAATCCTAACCAGAGTTATATCTTCTAGCAAACCTATTGCATTACAACCCTAATTTCATCCATTTACGTAATTACAACATGGATATCTGGTAGAGAAAACTGTCTCTTTTAAAATATTAAATTGTTTTTTTTATAACTTTTTAGCATGAGCTAATTTTCATGAAAACATGATTTACTAAATTCTTGATTCTTTTAATGAAATTTTTGGAAATAAGGAAGACTGCATGTAGCAAATCAGTATCACAACCATGTTTCACTAATTGTATTCAGTTGTGAACTATTCTGTTTTTAAATGTACAAACTAGCATTACCATATATACTTGCTTTCAAGTCGAGTCCTACTTCAAAATGCATAGACCGAGATCTGCTGACAGATAATGCAAAATCAAATCTAGGTCTATGCAGTTTGTCAGGAGAAATCATTAGAACAAGTAAAGTAGATCTTGATCTAAATGTGCAGTATGCTATGGCAGATCAGGATCTTTGTTGTTTGTAGTTTGACTAATCTTATAAGGGAGTGTATAAGGTATGTGCTTTGAGTCATGTTTCAAATACCATAATACTGATATAAATACTTTAGATTTTTGTTTAAATAATAAAAAAAAACTAACAACTTTTTAATCATCAGTAACATGTACCATTAAAAAAATTGCAGTTTGTTGATTCACAGGGAATTTAATTATTAGGATCAAAATACTTTGAATGTGTTCCTAATGTATTGGTGGATTTATGCTTCAAACATGAAATGCATTCCTTTCAAGATAATAATCAGTAAAGACACAAAATTATCATTTTTTATAATTGTTTTAATAGGCATGACTATTGCCAGCTGAAACTGCATTGCATTATAAATTATTTTAAAACAATGTATAGAGGATCCCAAATGGGTAATGATTTAATATTGAATTTATGAAACAAGTTGAAAAATGTCCAGCTTTTGTAAGCCTGGACATTATTCAATGAGTTTGATGTATTTAATAATAAATTATTACCCATTTGAGATTCTGTTTATCACATATTTTATTTTAATGGAAATAAGAATGAAAAAAAGAAATAATTTCATTGATTCTGACTTAGATGTTGCATAAAAAGTAGTCCTTGGCATTATTTTGTGCTTTTCTGTGACAAGTAAAGTGTATTTATTTAAATTTTACCAATTATGTTTTAATGGGCAACTGTCTTTCCTAATAAAGAAAATATTTAACTCAACAAAATTTTTCAACACAGATTGGCTTTGCAAATTCAGAATGTCACATGTTTAAGTTTGGTTAGGAAATGTTTATTAGTGCAAATGTGTCACTATTAGTTCTAATTATTCAA